CCTTAGTCAATCAATTAGTTACCAGAGGCAGAGATTCATCCCCTATCTCCAAAATGCAGAAGAAAGGAAACTCAGATCAAAAAAGCAAATCAAAAGTGGTAAAACCTTATATGAAGATTAGAGACAGACTGGGAGTAGTGAAATTTGGGGCTTTCAAACATGCTCAACAGCCCGAGAGGAGCACAAATGAAAGCCCAGTGTGAACTTGCCAAGCGCATACCTGTCAATATGAAAGCGGCTGAGCAGCAGAAGAATGGAATGCTGTTGGATCCCTGAGGGCAACCTAATCACGTGGGACTGCATAGAGATCAGCCCATTTTGGATCAGGACTTTTCGATGATAGTGAAGCTTTCCAGCATCTACCCTATAAAAGAGTAGCCTCCATCGTGTTTCGAACATAGCACAACAGCTAACCCCCCTGAACCCTCCTTAATAACAAAAACCGGAAGAAGGCATACAAGAACCTACATTTCTGCATCAACTAAGTTTCTTAAATGAGCCTAAAACTTAAGATAATTGCTAAGCCAACAAAGGCGATGGTCCCTTGTCTCAAAGGTTTAACACCTACAATGAAACTGAAGCTTAGCTCAGAGCAAAGGAATTCCCTAGGCCTAGAATAATGTTCTCCCATTATTATAGCACTATTTTATGCTTCTCTCTGAAGGGAAGCAACCTCCAGGCTAAAAGAGAAGTTGCAGTCATAATTAACTTATAAAATAATAGCAAACCAAGTTAAGATCGTATCTAATCCCTGAGATAAGTAGTTCTCCACATCTGTGGGAATATCTGTGCATAGAACCCTCCTTTCTGGCATTATATCATCAGTTAGTCCAGAATAAGCCAATTCTTACAACTTACTTAAAAGCCACACTGAGGTCTTTTTGGAGCTCCCCTTGCCAGCGAGCTCGTCCTAATCGCTCCAAAATGCAGTAGGAGAAGTCAGGAAGCTTTAAGTCTGGATCCCCTTCCCAACCTATTAGTGCCCTGTGGCGCAATACCTGGGAGGCAACAATGACCAGCCTCTCTCCCCAACTGCAAAGTAAGAAGAAGAGAGTCACTTCCAGAATCTCTAAAAGAAAAACAGCACTTTCTGTGCTCTAGCAATATTATCACCAACCTCCTGAACTGTAGGTAGACCATTTCAAGCTGAATCACACAACGGAATGACAATTCCTCCCACAGCCCACCAATTAATGAGCAACTGTTATTTTTCTTCTGGTGATCACACGTTTAAAGCCCCCCATGGGTATCTGAAGAAGCACCTATCTTCAGTTGTCTATGCCTGTCTAATTCAATCCAGCTGAGTGGGCATACTTCAGGTTCCGTAAATTAAGAGAATATAATTTGGTGGCACCCAGAGCCTTGCCTATTCCTGCCCTTTGGAATAAGCTCCCTCCAGAGGTACATGTGGTGTCCTTGGTGCTCTCTGAGCTTGGTTCTTTTCTTACAGACGTTTCATTACCCAAACTAGGTAACATCATTAGTGCTAGCAGGGAGAGCAGTTTGCTCTTATTTTGTATTCTAGTGGCTTGCGCTTTCAGTGTTGGTGGGAATGGTCTTGGTGATTCTTTGGTTGGGCTGTTTACTGTTAGCTTGTTTGGCGTTTCTTGGTTGGGGTATGGTTTATTTCTAAATAGGTAAACAAATAAATTGTACGTGGGTATTAAAAAATAGATGATTGCACCAATCAAACCTTACTCACTTCTCATAAGCCTCCACATATGTGCAACAGGGCTGCATGTCCTTCGTCCTGATCCTATCAGTAACGTCCAGCCTCTCTTTCAAATACTGGCAGGAGCCCTGGACGCCCTCATCCAAAATCATATGCACCGGGTAAATGTCGCTTGATGGAACGGGATCCCGCTTGGTCTCCAGTATTCCTGTCTCAAGATCGATTTCCTCATAACTGGAAACGAATAAAACCTTTTCGGCGAAACTGCTTGTGATCCGCAATTCCCCCCAGTCCGTTGGGAAGGTAAACCCCAGAACGTTCAGCACCACGACCCCCCCCGGCTGAGCCCCGGGCCCGCCGCCCGCCTCCACAATCCCCCCCCCGCTCCGCCGGGGCCCCAGCGCCCAGGCCAGGCCTCACCGGTCGAAGAGGCTCAACTGCGGGCGCGGCTGCGGCAGCAAATAGAAGCGGAGCTCGGCCTGTGCAGCCAGCGTGGCCCATAGTAGCTGCCGGGCGCCCGGCTCCAGGGGCAGCGGGAAGGGCGGGACGCGGCCCGCCAGCCGGTCCCAGAGCGCGCCGGGGGTGACGCCGTCCAGCCCCTCCAGGGCTACCTCGTCCAGCGCAGCCCACAGCGCCTCCATGGCTGCCGGACGCGCGATGGGCGGCGCGCAGGAAGTGACGCCTCGGCGCGTGCCGCCCGAGCCGCCGCGGTAACCACGGCAACGGCCCAACAGGCGGCGGCGGCGGCGACGGGCCTGGCTCGGAGGCAGCTTCGCCGCGCCTAGCTGGGCCCGGCGGCCCGGGAGGGAACGGGAGGGAGCGGCAGCAGTTGTCGCGGAGACCCGGCCGCCCCGCCGCCTGCAGCCCCGAGGTAGCGGACGGGGCTCGGAAGGCGCTCCTCAGGCTTCGCCTCGCAGGCGCCCGTAACCCGGGGCCATGGTGACCGACTTCGACGAGAAGCACGACGAGCACTTGGTGCTGCTGCAGCAGAGGAACAGGTGAGCCGCCCGCGGGAGGGCCGGGGCTGGGCTGGGGCATCCGCCTGCCGGCCGTCGCCAAGAACAGCCCGTGTTTTCGGTTCCAGGATCCTGAAGGCCCTGGAGAGGAAGGACCCTCTGCAGCTCCGGCTGAAGCAGCTGGAGCAGGGCTTCACTTTGTACGTGAACGGCGCCAACTCGGAGGCGAGCCGCGGCCGCAAAGTCAGCCCTCCGGCCCTGCTCGGGAGCGGCGGCGCGCGAACCGTCAGGGCGAACCGTGAGTTCGTTTCCGGTCGCGACCATCCAGAGATCAGCGTCGCCTCTGGTTGAGGTTCCTCGGTCTGGGAATTTTTTAACATGAAAAGCAGAAGTTTTATACAGTAAATAAGAAATTTGACACGTAGCATCAAATCTGATAAAACGTCATATATTGCCTTGAGTGCAGACGGTTTTATTTATTTGTTTGTATATTTATTTATTTATTTATTTATGGAAGGCCGGAAATAAGCCATGAATTAATAATTACCCAGTTCGGGTGAATGTTTCCTTCGCTTGCAGTAAATCCCACAGACTTTCCTCAGCTTGTTTCAGTTTCCATTTTCAGTCATGAGGTTCCTGGTAGGGATACCATCTGTATGAATTGTGAAAGTTGGCATAGAAGGTGATGGCTTTTTCCCTCTGGCAGCTTCCACAGCTCCCCTGCTTGGAAAAGGGCTTAGAAAGTAGGAGGAAGCAGCAGCAGAATAATTGCTGTCATTGAGCTATTATATACACTGTAACGAAGCAAGGCATATGCACCGTACAATCCCAAAGGTCTATGCTGAAGTTCAAAGGATTAGTACCCATCCTGGCAGGCAGCAGGGCTCAACCATTGCAGACCTTTTTAACATTTCCTTTACTTTGAGATAAGCAGTGACCTATGCAGATTTGTAAGCGATTCTAAGCTATTTAAAGTGGCTGAGTAGCTCCAGAAACTCTCTTTAAATGGGGTGAATGGCCAGTCAAGTGACACACATGGTTCCATCTGAATAAGGCTGTAGATTGGAGCAAAGGTCCACCATAAAGGCACAAAATGCTAGAGGCTGAGCAGCTGTCATTTCACAGAAAAATACCATGAGGGTTCTAAATAAATAGCGGAGAGCTTAATGAAGAAGTTGAATCAGTACATGGTAGCCATCAAAAAAAAAATCGGAATAAAGGGTAGGAATAGAAACTGTATTACTATTAATGTTAAATATGTAAACCCAGACAATGCGTTGCTTACTAAATACTAAAGATTGTTATTGTAAAAAACTAATTTATTTATATATATATATGTGTGTGTGTGTGTGTGTGTGTGTGTCAATAAAAATATAGAAAAACGAACACGATAAAAATAAACAGGCCTGTTTAATATAAACAAACCTGTAAGTAAAAGAGTTACTGAGCTTTCGTCAGCCAAACTACTGACGTCATCAGAGTTAGAATGCCATGTGAGGAAATGTAGTGCCTTTATACAAATTTTGATGTGTTTACACCTGGAATAGCATTCTGGTTGCTAAATTTGACAGCATACAAAAATCTTCCCCCAAATGGTGGTTTATTGACCAGACTCTCTGATTGGGGCAGCATAGAAATAATGATAATAAACTAAATCCATCTGCTATGCAGGGTGTCTGGACTTTGACCCTTTTACTCATACTATTCCCCATTTCCTTTCAGCTGTGAGTACCAAAGACCTTTTAAAACAAGGAGAGCAGCAAGAGAGGAGCATCCAAAGTGCACCTAGTAAAATCCAACGCCGGGAGTGGCTCCAGGTATGAAAAAGAAGAGGGAGCACTAGAGTTCCCATCCTGGTATCTTTTTGGATTACAACAGCATGCAACAAATGTAAATAAATGAAGTGATGTGTTAGGCATGCAGCATTCTTCAATTTGCTCATAGGGCATCGTAAGATTCTTAAGGTTAGAAGTCCAGTCATAGACAAGACATAAAAGAGGAGCACTGAGAACAAATATCGGTTGGAAAACATAAAAGTGATCCTAAAATAAAAACAAGGACAGAGTTATGGAGCCAGTCAGGATCAGGTCTGATTATAACAGTTCCTGACTTATGTGATGGCTACAGCTCTAAAAACAATTTGTTCCTCAAGGCTGTAATAGTAATGTACTGTGTACTGATTTTTCTCAATCTTTCAGAAAGCTGTGCAGATCAAGACAGAAACTGGATCTAGGCTCTATATTGCTCCTCCTTGCGAGTATTCTGAGGATTTTGAATCTGATGAAAGTTTAGATCTGCAGACAACTGACTATGAAGAGAATGGTACTTCCCAGGTAAATAGATCTGTTGGATCAAATAATTTGTTAGATTATTAAAGACGAATCACCAGCACAGGAATTTGGAAGCATTCTTTCCTTCCCCCTAGAAAACAACCTTGGGCAAAATGGCCCTGCTCCTTGTGGTTTTCAAGACCACGTCAGAAAGATAGAGCAGAAGGATATGGAGGGAATCTTGCAGATCAGATCAAAGGCATATTTTCTCAGGCTCCCCAGCCCAGCGGTTGGCATTCAGATTCTCATCTGGGTGGGTTTAACTAGCCATCATGGATAACTATCTTTAGCAACCTCTCTGTCCTGTTCTAGTTGGCAGCCATTGTCACAACTTCCGTATTTTAACTATGGTTAGGTAAGGGCATGAGAGGTTTTTGGGTTCTAATATTCCAGAATAAGAAAACTACCTCTTTTTAACTGTCCTCATCACACAGATTTTGTATCATTTTTCCTTTTAATTTTTTTATATATGACATTGCAACTAAACTATTTATATCTGTGCTTTTTTCTCAGTTCATTTGGTAATTGGTGATAATTAAGTTTGAAGCTATGAATGCAGATTTCATCCATTTACATTTAAATCCAGATTTTACATTAAATCAGATGTTTTCTTCAAAGCAGAAGAAATCCTGTTTAAAGAAGTTAAGACAAAATAATTTTGAGCTGTCTGCATTGATTGCAGTGATTGGCAGTGGCCCTCCCAAGTCTTCCTCCAGTTATATCTGGAGATGTTGGAGTGATGTCTGAGCTCCTTCTCTTTATGCCAGGAACTCCGACAAAGCTTGGAGTTTGCCAGGAGCCAAAAACAGGTGAAAGGGGAACATTCTTCCGAGGATTCTGACTCCATCGAGGAGGAGGTTCCCATTGAAGCCCCTGAGAAGAAAGAACCTGCGGCATGTCTGGGAGGTGCTGCTGTGCCGGTTCTTGCCAAAGCAGCTCTCTCTCCTCTGTCTGGCACAGGCTCTGCTCTGGCCACTGGGCCTTTCGTGTTGGAATTCAAGCCAAACTGCCCAGGTAGGTCCACTTAAAACTGAGGTGGAGAATTACTAATTTTGTTTGTCCTCTTTGTGATGAAGATTAGAAGTCTCTTCTTTAAGTATTTCTTTCTCTTTTTCTTATTTGTTCTTTTCTTTTTTCCTTTGCACTTTTTATTCTCCCCTTGTTTTTTCTGAGAGCTTACTATATATTGTCTTTTACCATTGTTATTGACTCTTCATTAAAAAGTATTTTAAAAATTGCCTGGATAAATCCAGTACCGTGCTGACTGTTTTTTATTTTCAGAATCAAAGAGTGCATTGGCTGGCTTGGCCCTGAAGGAATCCTCAAAAGAAAGGGTCCTTATGTGCCCGATAAACAAGGGCAGAGATTGCCTTTGAGTGTAATTCTAGCCCCTGGTCTTAAAGACGACCTAAGAAGGCTGTGCTGGATGCTGACTGCCTTTAGAATAAGTTCCTGGTTTTGGTATCTGCTCTTCCTGCAGGCATTAAGAAGGAGCAAAGTCTCTCTGCAAAAAGGAAGGGCACTGCTGAACCCTACATTCCCGTCAAGTCCATGAGTTCAGCGGCTGCAGGTCGTCGGTGCCTGGAAGAGCAGGAAGGAACCGCCTCCAGTAAGAGAGAGATGGTTTCTAAGTGGCCCCCTTAAGAGCTTGACAGGCATACAGAAGCTGCAGTGGTGAAAGGCAGTGGAAATGTGCCTGTCATTTCTCTTCTCTGAACAAGGCCATGCTCAGAATAATTCTGTGTGTTGACATTCATGTTAGTTCTCTGATGCTTGTAGCCCCTGGAGACCTCCTTGGCTAGGCAGAAAGCTCGCTCTCTCTTCCGGGCAGAAAGAGAGGATTGTGCCTAGCATGATTCTCTGGATTGGGATGGCAGGTTTCCTTAGATGTCGATGTCAGGCCTTAGGGTGACAGCTGCGTTTTAGAACATTGGTTTGAGAATATGCCTTTAGCCAGCCAAGTGTCCTCCTTTACTCAATTTTCTTCCTGTTAATTAGCATTTTGATCTCTACTGTTTCTTTCCTTTGCCTGTCACTCTCCTTATTTTTCTTGGTGCACAAATATAGTTCAGCATCAACATCACTGAAATATTTCTTTATTCATTCTGTTTTTCACACCACCTTAATTCTTCTTTAGTAAAGCTGTTCCCACATTCAGCCTTTCTACATTTGCCCACTACAGCCTGTTGAACACTTACATTCTCCACCTTAATTCTTCTTCTACTTTGAAATATTGCTGCCCAGAATCATCAGGTTTTGCTTGGCCCATTCTGTGAGAGTAACACAGGAGGCTTCGTATGGTCTTTGGATGCCACACCTTCTCACTTGGTGGGATCTTGTTAGCCTTGGCTGGAACCAGGGACCAACTTCTTCTCTGAAGTCCATTTGGGCTGCCACTAAGTTTTGCTCTTGTTAGTCTCTATGCTGTCTAGGAGTTTCCACTCCTATGACTCGAGAATCTTACCACGGGGATGTTTCAGGCCCAACTTGCTTCCCTCTGACTAAGGGTTCAAAAATATTTTCTGCTTCTTTTGGACGTTAGGACCAATAAGCCGATCGGAAAGACCACTCTCAGCTGTTCGGAAAAATGTGTGTGAGAAGAAGGATCCAGCAAATGCTGCTTCCATTGTCCTCAAAGCTATGCAAGCAGAAAATGAGACACTACAAAAGGAGCTGCTCTGTAGGCAGCTGGAGGTCTCTACAGAGGTCAGTAGCACGGGGGACGTGTCTTATTCAATGGCTGGGCATAGACTTCCCTGCTCCATCTGGCCTCTGCTATGGAAGCTGACTACTTGGCTACTGCACAGAGGGACCTGACAGGATCAGGATGTTCTTCCAAAATGTTGCCTTGAAATGGACCATGTGCTCTGTCCAACGTTAAAGAAAGGTTTTCTTTTCCTTGGCTTCCTAGAATTTTTTTTTTTCATTTGAAATAGAAACTGGTTTTCTTAAGAAGAACTATCCTGTCTCCTTTTTGTAGTCTATTATTTAACATTTTAGAAGCTGTTAGGAAGAGAGTAGTAACTTACAACGAAGGGAAGCCCTCATGCTTGCCTGGAGGTGAGGCTGAATTATAAATCTTTTCCATTCCTGAAAAGGAAGCTCCTGTGTGTACAAGCAATCCATTCTTGTGTAGCCTTGGCAGAATCTTATTAAAAATTGACCATGCCAATATTTGTGGAATCGCTGTCCGGACTCATCTAGTTGCTGACTGGGGTTTGTGAAAGGAAGGACAGCAAGCGGGCCTGACCTAGGGAGGATTTTAGGTAGNTTAAAAGTAATTTTAATCGGAAACACAGCTGGCAATATTTGGTTTTTAATTCGGCTTTTATTGGGGTTTATATTTTTTGTATTTCTGTATTTTTGTATTTTGTGTATAGTATTTGTTTTTTAATATGCTGTGAACCGCCCTGAGTCCTATGGGAGAAGGGCGGTATACAAATTAAATTAACATTAACAACATTAACATTAACATAGACTATTCTCTGCCAGAGTCCTGGAGAGGGAGGTTGGCTGCTGGGATAGGGCGAGGGAGTTCGGCACCTGTGCTGGCCTCCCAACTCAGACCAGCCCCCGGCTTCATTGTCTGGAGAGTGGAGTTCTCTTGTGAGCTTCTCCTCATTTCCCTTCTGTGCAGTCACTGCTGGCCTCTGGCTCTGCAACAGTGGACGTTCCTGCAGAACAGCAGGAGGACGCAGTTCTCTCCACGGCCCTGGAACAAACTGGACTTCTGGAAAACAGGTGGCAGTTCTGAATCCTCTGAGTCCCTTCTCAGGGGCAATATACTTTTGTCTCTGCACGGGGATGCCCAGTGGACTCCTCTGCTAGTTCTGCTCCCCATGGCGTCTGATTACCAGGACATTCGGAAGGCAACATGGGCACAAGTATCTTCATCTGCAAAGGGTGTCTGTGAAGGCCGGAGGTTGGGGGAGGGGATGGCAAAAGGTGATTTGGAGACTGAGCTAGGTTCTTCATAAAAATTTGAGAGGTCAGTATTTTCATAATGAAGTGTGAACCTTGTGCTCTGAGCAACACAGGAAACAGCATCTCAGCTTGCTGGTTCTTGGTTTATATTCAATATTCTGCAAACTTGCAGTAGTATTCTTTATCAATAAAACTAATGGCATATTTTCTCCTTTGAGTTGCTGATGGCTCGTGTCTGGGCATTAAGGCTTGAGCCATTTAATAAGAAAAGCAGCGCTGGATTGTTCACAACTATCAGTACTGCTACCTCATCTTCCACCTTCACGTCCTTGTCTTGAGAGTTTCCGAGTGTCTGAATGAGTTCAAATCAATGGCCCTTCTGGGTCCAAAGAAAAAAGCACTGACCTTGCTGCTTGTTTTCCTGTGGTCTCTTCAATGTTTAGGCAACAGAAGAAATTTCTCAAAGCTCTGCAAAAGACCGAGACTCTATCCGTCTGCCATGGCCCTGCAGCTTTGGGCTTTGGACAGCTGGAGCTTCCTGTTCTGGTAGGAAGCAAGTCACAATTTCGAACTGTAGTTTCCTCATCTTCATCCCAATTGTGTTACTTAGCAACAATCAGGATGGGTTGGATGGTCCTGAAGAGGATGTGAATTCCAGATAGCTTTCCTCTGCAAAACGGGGCATTCCAGCACATCATACATAGACTATGAGAGCAGAAATGTGGAGTTGGAATACTTACGTTCCGTGCCTGGTGTTGGACTAAAGGGGAAGGCTTGCTTGAGCCATGGGCCACCCCCTACAGGAAGCCAGACAGGATCCATCTGGGCCCCTCCAGG